TAATTCTTTTTCTTTACGTATACATATATTATTAATCATTTTAAGAAGTTGTATTGTATTTTCTTCTAATTCCCATTGAAAATTACATTTATCAATAGATATTGTTTGATAACTATTTGATAAAATATAATACATTATTTTACCATTATGTGCACGAATTGTTATACAATTAAAATAACGTTCATGTTTATATATACGTTCAATAGTTGGAAAAAATTTATTGATACGAAAATAAAAATTTGCTTCTGGAGCATGCCATAATTCACCAGGCATATTTATATCATTTGTTATTTGAGAATTGAATGAAAATAAATGTAAATATTTTGTTTGATTCAAATATTTTATACGTGGTTCAGTTTGTTCAATACGACGTTCAATAAGAGATATCCATTTACTGATTAAAAGGTTAAATGATCGAGATATATGAGTATTATTAAGTACACCAGAAGAGACAGAAATAGATCGATCGCATTATTTCTACAATATAATTTTATATAAAAAACAAACCTTTCATTAAAAACATTCCAAAATTGTATTTTTAATTATTTCATATGTTGAAATTCTTTTTCATCATTATTTAATAGATCTTTTAAATGTTGAATAATTAATTTAATATCATTAGATAAAATTTTTCTATTTTCAAATAAATCTTGATAAATTTTTCTTTGACATTCATATAAACGTTTATTCATATATTCAAAAAATATTTCATTTATAGTATGTAATTGTTCAATAATAATATCTAATGTTCGTACTATAGTTGGATGTTGTTCAAGTAAAATTTGTTCTAAACGTTTTAAATTATTAATAGCTTGTTGTCTAATTGAAATTGTTGGTAAGTTTAAAGTATTTTCAATTGTAGGTGTTGTTGGTGTTTCTGGAATTTGTTTTTCTTCTTGATTATTTTCGATTAATTTTTTATAATTCTTTTTTATTTGAATATAAACAGCTTGCGGATATAAACGTATTAATTCAGTTAAAATAGCAAACATACATTGACTAGATTCATTACGTATCAATTTATTTAATATTTGTGGCAACCAAAATAACCAATGTTGTACAGGTATTAAAGATAAATAACGTTCAATACATATAGATAATTTATTATTATTATCATTTTCATTATCACGTGAAAGTAAATAGAATATTTTCGATAATATTGAACGTGCTTTAATTTCATTTAAATCTTTACATGCATTTAAATAACAAACAAG